AATGGGAATGGGAAAATGGGGATGGGAATGGGAAAATGGGAATGGGGTGGGGATGGAAAAATGAGAATGGGGGAGTGGGAATGGGGAGGGGAATGGGAATGGGGAATGGGGAATGGGAATGGGGTGGGAAAATGGGAATGGGAAAATGGGAATGGGAACGGGAATGGGGAATGGGAAATGGGGTAGGGTGGGAGTAGGAAGGGGAATGGGAATGGGAAAATGGGAATGGGGGAATGGGAAAATGGGAAAATGGGGATGGGAATGGGGATCGGAATGGGGAATGGGGAATGGGAACGGGAAGATGGGAATGGGAATGGGAAAATGGGAATGGGGTGGGGATGGAAAAATGGGAATGGGAATGGGGCGGGAAAGGGAATGGGAATGGAATAGGGTGGGAGTAGGAATGGGAATGGGAATGGAAAAATGGGAATGAGGAGGGGATGGGAATGGGAGTGGGAATGGGAAAGGTGTGGGAAAGGGATGAAATGGGAATGGGAATAGGGTTTGAATGGAATGGGATGGGGATGAGAATGGGAGTGGAAATGGAAATGGGGTGGAATGGAATGGGAACGGGGAATGGGATGAGATGGGATGGGGTGGGAATGGAGAAATGGGAATGGGGTGGGGATGGGAATGGGATGGGAACAGGAATGGGGTGGGAATGGGGATGGAAAAATGGGAATGAGGATGGGATGGGAATGGAGTGGGAAAAACGGGGATGGGATGGGAATGGGATGGGTTGGTAATGGGAATGGGGTGGAAAAATGGGAATGGAATGCGGATGGGAATGGGGTGGAAATGGGGGGGATGGGAATGGAATGGAAAAATGGGAATGGGGTGAGGATGGGGTGGGATTGGGGTGGGGATGGAAATGGGATGGGAGTGGGATGGGATGGAATGGGAATGGGTGTGGAATGAGAATGAGGATGGGAACGGGAGTGGGATGGGGATGGGATGGAAATGGGAATGGGGATGGGATGGGAATGGGGATGGTGGGCCAGGATTTGGAGATTTGGTGGCTTTTGAGAGGAATGTTCAATGGGAATGGGAATGAGTATGATGGGAATGGGGATGGGATTGGGAATGGTCCCTCACGATTGTGGGGTTTCCTGGCGGGAAGTGACTTTTTGGGGGATTCTCACCTTTTTTTCCTGGGATTTTTCCCGGAATTCCCGTTTTTTTTCAGTGATGACCCGCGGCGCCGCCTTCAGCCCCCCGTACCGCTTCACGCTGAGCGACGGCTCCGTGCTGAGCGCCCAAACCAAATGCAAACTCTGCTGCCCCTCGGGCCCCGAGGCTCAGCCCTTCATCATGGGCGTGCACGTCATCGACAGGTGAGAGATCCTGGAAAAA